TAGGAGCTCTGTGTATAGCTGCGCCCGCACTCCCCACAGCGGTAGGGGCGCCCGCCCGTGTGCACCAGCTGGTGCCGCAGCAACGTGGCACTCAGGGCAAAGGCTTTGCCGCAGACCGGGCAGGGGAAGGGACATTCACCTGTGTGCGCTAGCCGGTGCCGGAGCAGGTGGGCTCGCTGGCGGAAGCGGCGGGGGCAGTCAGGGCAGGCGTGGAGGTGTTCGACACTGTGTGTCTGCAAGTGCCGTGCCAGCGTGGAGCGCAGCCCAAAGCTCTTGCCGCAGTGAGCGCAGGCGTGGGGGCGCTGGCTGGCGTGGGCGCCCTGCTGGTGCTGTGCCAGGTGGGCACTCTGCCGGAAGCTCTGCCCGCACTCCCCACAGCGGTAGGGACGCTCACCGGTGTGCACTCGCTGATGCACCAGCAGCGCCAAGCTGCCAGCAAAGGCCTTGCCGCACGCCAGGCAGGGGAAGGGGCGCTCACCTGTGTGCGCCTGCTGGGTGCGTGGCCAGCGCGCGTGGTCGCAAAAGCCTTTGCTGCAGGTGGTGCAGATGTAGGGCCTCTCGCTCGCATGGAGGAGCTGGTGCCTTGTCAGCGTGGCACTCTGCCGGAAGCTCTTCCCACACTCACTGCATTTAAAGGGCCACCTGACGGTGGGTCCTCAGTGCCGCCTCTTCCGGTGCAGCATCCTCTGCCCCAGCCACGCTCGCCAGCCTCTCACCTGCAGGAACAAACGGGCAATCAGGCATGAGCCGTCCCCACAGGAGGCCGGCTAGGACAGGGCCCCAACTACGGCAGTCAGAGCCCGAGGCACCACTCAAGTGGCCCCGCCCCTCCCTGGAGCCGGTTTCCGAGCTGGGATTGAAGGAGGCGGTCACACCTCTTGCAGCTTTTTCAGGCTGCTGCAGACTCAGGCAGGCGTCAGCACCACCCAGCTCAGGTTCACAAGCCTTTCTTTGCCTCTGTGTGGGCTGGAAATATTATTTGCTTTTTCAGTGAGAACCAAGACATGGCTCTCATATGGTTCTGGGGGCCCTGGCGCAGGTGGTGGGATGGGTGCAGTGGTGCAGACAGATCAGGGAGAGGGTGGTGACAACCTCTGAGAGGAGCTGGGCCAGGAGGGCTTGCAGGGGTGGATGTGGGGGCTCCCCGCTGCCCAGGACCAGCGCTGGCTTTTTGCTGCCCCTGGTGGCAAAAAAGGATGGAAGAGGACAGGAGAGGGGCGGTTCCGCGAGAAGCTATCGCTGAAATGCCGCCGAAGACTGGGGTGGCCGAAGATCATCCCACCACCAAAATGCCGCCGAATTCCATGGCGGCTGAAGCGTTGCCGCCAAAATGCCGCCGAGGGACCCGAAATGCCGCCCCCACAAATCCTGGCACCCTAGGCGACCGCCTAGGTCGTCTAGTGGTTGCTCTGGCCCTGCCGCTGCCCCCACCCCTCTCAGCTGGGCTTATTTATCCCTCACCTGTTTGGGGGCCCGGCCAGCTCTCATCGGCCTCGCCTTTGCTGAGATCTGGGACGTGCAGCTCTTCCCCTCGCTCCATCCAGTATTGGGATTGGGGCCCTGCTGGGTGAGAACAGAGCAGGTGGGATCCAGGTAAATACCCGCCGAGCTCGGCGTTCATCTGCTACTCGGGGCTGGCAGGGACGGGACAGCCAGGAAATGCCCCTGGAAACACAAGAGGGTCAATTCAGACACAAACAATCAGAGTGGAGGGGAGACGACCCCACAGGCTCCCCGAGCCATAGTGCAAGTGTGGCCCCACAGCTGCTCACTAACACAGGGGTATAAAAGCCCACTGCCGGCTTCAGACTTGAACCAAACTGGCTCCGTGCAGCGCCAGGACTGAGCCTCTGAACGGGACTGGTGGGAAACAGCTGGCCTGGCTAATGCCACCCTGTGTGGTGAACAACAACTCCGTGCAAAGGAGCAAGCCTGGGAAGCGCCAGTTACCTCAGCCCACATCCCGTGAGCCAACGGCCCCACCGGGGACCCCACTGCATGGGGCAGAGAGCCAGCGATCCCCTCGGTCACAAGGGGCTGGCAGAGACTCCTGCACTTTCCAGAGCAGTTGCGTACTCAGGCCCTGCAGGGGAAACAGACCACGGCCTTCCCGAAAGAGCCCCAAAGCAGCTCAGAGCTCACAGCCTGGCCATCAGAGCTCTACAGGGAACAGCTCTGTGGTCTTCTGAGCCACAGAGCCCTGAGCGTGCTCCTGCTGGAAACATTTGACAGCATCACCCCACTGGACTCGACCTAGGGAGGAAGCGCCTCACGCTAATGAGGAAACCCCCCACACTCCACAGCACGCCCAGGGACCCCTGCCACTGGGACAGCGCCCCAACTCCTTGGCACAAGGAGCATCTTCGTTCTGTGCTTGTGCAGGGCCCGGCGCCATAAGGCCTGACCTCCAAGTGGCTGTGAATGCTACCACTGGCCAAAGAGCAATCGCCAGCTGGTGCTGCCATTGCAAAGCAGCCCCTCTCCCGACTCCCCCAATCATAGAATTGGAAGGGACCTCGGGAGGTCATCTAGCCCAGTCCCCTGCACTCATGGCAGGACTGAGTATTATCTACCACCCCTGACAGGTGTTTGTCTAACCTGCTCTTAAAAACCTCCAATGATGGAGATTCCACAACCTCCCTAGGCAATTTATTCCAGTGCTTCACCACCCTGACAGGAAGATTTTCCTAATGTCCAACCGAAACTGCCCTTGCTGCAATTTAAGCCCATGGCGTCTTTATCCTCAGAGGTTAAAGAGAACAATTTACCTCCCTCCTCCTGGTAACAGGCTTTTATGTACTCGAAAAATGGTAGCATGTCCCCCCTCAGCCTTTTCTTCTCCAGACTAAACAAACCCAGTTTTTTCAATCGTCCCTCATAAGTCATGTTTTCTAGACCTTTAATAATTTTTGTTGCTCCTCTCTGGATTTTCTCCAATTTGTCCACATCTTTCCTGAAAGGTGGTGCTCAAAACTGGACACAATACTCCAGTTGAGGGCATATCAATGTGGAGTAGAGCAGAAGAATTACTTCTTGAGTCTTGCTTACAACACTCCTGCTAATACATCCGGAATGATCTTTGCTTTTTTTGCAACAGTGTTACATTGTTGACTCATATTTAGCTTGTGATCCACTCTGACCCCCAGATTCCTTTCTGCAGTACTCCTTCCTAGGCAGTCATTTCCCAGTTTGTATGTGTGCAACTGATTGTTCCTTCCTAAGTGGAGTACTTTGCATTTGTCCGTATTGAATTTCATCCTATTTACTTTAGACCATTTCTCCAGTTTGTCCAGATCATTTTGAATTTTAATCCTATCCTCCAAAGCACTTGCAACCCCTCCCAGCTTGGTACCATCCGCAAACTTTATAAGTGTACTCTCTCTGCCATTATCTAAATCATTGATGAACATGTTGAACAGAACCAGACCGAATCCTAACCCAGAACTGATTCCCCCGCTCCCACAAACACACACACCCCTGCAAAGACACCGGTCACTCCCCGCCTGCCCACACCCCTCCTGCACAGACACCGGTCACTCCCCGCCTGCCCACACCCCCCCCTGCACAGACACCGGTCACTCCCCGCCTGCCCACACCCCCCCCGCACAGACACCGGTCACTCCCCAACTACCCACACACCCCCGTGCACAGACACCGGTCACTCCCCCACCTGCCCACACACCCCCCTGCACAGACACCGGTCACTCCCCGCCTGCCCCACCCCCGCACAGACACCGGTCACACAGCCCCACGCGCACACACAGAGAGCTCTGCACAGAGAGCAGTCAACCACCCCCCCACACACACACCCCTGCAAAGGCACTGGTCACCCCTCCCCACCCCAGGCACACACAGAGCCCTGCACAGAGAGCAGCCAACTACCCCCTACACACACACACACACACACACACACACCCCCTTGCACAGGTCACCCCTCCCCGCCCCACGCACACACACAGAGCTCTGCACAGAAAGCAGCCAACCCCCCCCGCACACTCACATCCCTGCACAGACCCCGATCACCGCCCCCCCGCACACCATACCAGCTGTCCCGTAAACCCGGGGGGGGGGAGACGCTGCCAGACCCCGTGCAGGGACAAAACCCCCGTTTAGGGAGGGGGAGAGGGGGGAACAGTGACCCCGTGGGATGAGGCACCCACTGTGCTCGCTAATCTAGGGGTGTAGGGGGTGCAGAGGAGGTTTTCGTTCTGCTCACAGGACGCTGCCCTGGAGCAGAGGGCAAGTTCCTGGGACTGGGGTCTTAAAGGCACAGGCCTCCAATTCCTAGCCTGTCAAAGCTTAATCACCGCAGCTCCTCTCTATCCTATACAAGTGTTGCAGGGCCAGGGCCAGGGCTGCCCGGAGGGGGGGGGCAAGTGGGGCAATTTTCCACAGAGGCCCCCACGAGTATATCGGAGGCTGTCCCCACCTCCGTCTTCCCCCAAGCCCCTGTGTCTTAGCACGCCGCGTCCGGGAGCGGCCCTGGCGCGCTGCAGCGCCGTGGCTCTAACACTGTCCAACGCCACTCCTGGACGCTGAATCCTCTGTGCAGGGCTACGTTACTGCTCCAGCCAGGAGACTGAATGCGGTGAAATATTGTACAGACACTCCCTCCCTCAAACTCTGCCTCTCACATTTTGAATATGTAAAAGTGTCTTCTATCAGTTTCTATGTCTATATGAAATCACTCACTGCAGCTCATTTCTCTTATATAACATGCTGAGTTGCTAACTCCCTCCCAGAGCCCACATATCCGCACCCCCTCCTGTACCCCAACCCCCTGCCCCAGGTCAGAGCCTGCACCCCTCACTCAAATTCCCCATAGCCTGCAACCCTCCTGCATCCCAGAGCCTGCACCCCAAAAAGGGCTGGATTAACCTTTTGTGGGCCTGGTGCTAACCATATTTGTGAGCCCCCACGGGGGAAATGGGGACATGGGGCAGGGGGGCAGAGTCCTCAGAGCGACGGGCTGGCCGGGGGCAATGGGAGTTGAGATGGGTCATGGCACGGCAGGGACAGCCCCGTTCCACCCAGCGCAGTACAAGGGCACTGTTTACAAACCGGAAGCTGCCAGACGCACACTGGCCAGCCCGGCCCTGCGCTCCCATCGTGCTTCTTCCCCTTCGGGGCAGTCCCATGCTGCACCATGCTACCCCCCTGCCCAGCACCCCTCTGACTCCCTACGCCCAGTGCCACACCACCCAGAGACCCCCACAAACCCCCATGCCCAGTGCCCTCCAACAGACCACTCCCCCACCCACTCAGAACCCCCCCACAGATCCTCTCACTGCCCAGTGCCCCCTAGCTGGAGACCCCCCACAGTCCTCCCACAACTGCACAGTGCCCTGCACCTCCCCGCCCAGAGCCCCCCCACAGATTCCCTCACTGCCCAGTGCCCCCCACCGCCCCACTGCCACAACTGCACAGTGCCCCGCACAGACCCCCCACACTTCCCAGTACCCCGACACACACAGATCTCCCCCACTGCACAGCCCCCCCAACACACACAGATCTCCCCAACTCCCACTGCACAGCACCCCCCCCAACCCACTAGAGACCTATTTTCCCACACCCTAACCCCCAGCCACAATAGCCGGCCCTGATGGGAGGTGACTGTGTCTGCCAGGCTGAGCCGGCAGCGCAGCCAGAGCTGGTC